ACACACACACACACACACACACACACACACACACACACACACACACACACACACACACAGTTTATTACTCGTCTCTGCTTCCCTCCATCCATTTCTCCCAACACCTGCAGGCAGAATATCTTATTAAAATATGCCAATCAGGCAGATATGTGCCGAATCCTCTTAACAAACTGGATTATTATTGTTTTGATGTTTGTTGTGTGTAAACTGAAAGCACGAAGATGAAGCGCTACAGTTTGAGTGACTATTTTCCTTCTGCCTCCTTGTTTTGTGCACAACACAGACACTCAATACGTTTTCTCTCCTGCGTGTTTTCCAGCTGCAGAACCAGTCTGAACTTCGTGCTCCCACCCCAGAAAAGGCAGCCTGGTTCCTGGACGCGGCCATAGCAGCTCGCCACAGCAGCCAGCGGCCCGACACCACAGAGGAAGAACACAGGAACTCTCATATGCTCTTTACTTTACACATTTACCAGTATCGCATGGAGAAGACAGGCAAAGGAGGGAGTGAGTACTCTTTGTTCAAACACTGTTAAAACTAGGTGACATGATTACATTTTAGACATCATGACAGCAGCCACATGATTTATATTTTACTTTTTAATCATTAGTTATGTACCAGATAATCAGAACAAAGACATATAGTAACATGCACTACTGGTTTTTATGGAAAACAAAAGAAGAAAAGAGTCTGATGATAAACAGATCAGGGTGTGTGTTGTGAAAACGCAGATCAGTCCACGTTTTCACTGTGTGATCCATAAATATTATTCAGTGCCTAAAATATTTCACAGCCAGATCACACACAGCCTGAGTCTTTGTATGTGACTGAGAGAGACAGATTCACACATCTGGCATGCTCAAAAATGTGTTTATGAGAGGGAGAGAAAAGGCTCAAAAACAGCTCATAATGGTAAATTTGGTGTTTAATGACAGCTTAAGAGCACAGACTTGTCATCAGCTGACACTGAGCTTTTTTCACTGATCGCTGACAAGAAGAAACCTTTTTAAAAACACATTTAGACACATTTATTCCTTTTTAAGACTTCTTTCCTGTGTTCAAGTCCTTTGAAGAGAAGACTTAGTGCCACTTGAATTGTAAAATGGAAAATATTTTTGTTTCTTACTACTTTGGCTTGGTTTCTATGCTTGAATATCGTAACATTTATTTGATTATTTTAGAAATAACCTCTTTAGTTTACTTGCTGATGCTGTAGTATTCTGACAAAGTTATTTTCATTTTTATTTCACCTTTTCTTGTTTACTGTCTATTTTTTTCTTCTATTGTTGACTCTTTTTTTGCATCTGCTAGTGTCAGGAGGTCGCAGTCGTCTCCACCTGCTGGATCTGGGCAGCTGCGACGTTAAAGCTCTCGAAGGAGCAGGAGGAAAGAACAAGGAGAACTCCTCAGCCTCTCTGTGTCTTTCTCTGTCAGCCCTCGGGAACGTGATCTTGGCCCTGGTCAACGGGAGCAAACACATCCCGTACAAGTAGGTTGCTGTGTGTGTGTGTGTGTGATGTGGGTGGAGAGTGCAGAGAGGAAGTGCGCTAAGACGAGCTGATTAATGTGAGGAGGGGAGAGAGCTCAGGCAGAAATAGAAAAGGAGCGTAGAAGAGGCCAGATTATCAACGGAGTGAGAGAAATGTGGAGTAGAGAGGCAGACTGAGGAGGAGGGCAGGATGTTTTGGAGCTGGAGGAGAGGGAGGAAAGGAAAGCTGATGGCTCAAGGTGCTTCGGATTTGTGGGACGTGATGATTTAACCAACAACAGATGCTTTTCCATATTTATTTCCTTCATTTGGCTAGTTTAGAGGAAAGGAGGAAAATAAACTGTAACTTGAACTAAAGGATGAAAATAAAAAGAAGGAACGGGAAAAAATATAATTGCTACAGTTTAGTCAACAGAGGACACTGGAAAGCTTTTATGTCTCTTTTTCCCTTCTTGAGGTGAAGTAACTTTGTTCCATCCAGAGTTAATTTAATCTCAAGCGTTTGCATTTGCATTGCAAAACAATCTAAAATTAGCACTGGAGACGTAAGCAAAGCCTTGCTTCGACACTGACTGTTGTTGGAGTGTGAGTGAAGTAATTAATGCTGGGGTTTTATTAAATAACTGCAAACTAAAAGCAAAATGTTGATGATGGAGAATTATTGTTAACATTAGTGTAAAACCTGTCATCTTTTTTTACATTTTGGCTACTACACTGCAAAAAATGTCCACCTAACCAAGTTTTAAAATCTTATATCCAGTCAAAAAGTCTTTTTGATCTTGTTTTGAGACTGATTTACTAAACAAGAACTGATTGTGTAAGAATAATAATCTTGTTTTCAGAATGTGTAAGATTATTTGTCTTAGACTGAAATTTTGACTCAATTAAGTGAAAAATTTTGGCAAACGGAGTAAAAAAATTTACTTGGTAAGATTCTTGAAATTCTTGATTTGACTCAATTTTTTCTTATTTCAAGAATCTTACCAAGTAAAATTTTCTTACTCCAGTGGCAGAAATTTTTTCACTTAATTTGAGTCAAATTTTCAGACCAACAAGACAGATAATCTTACACATTTTGAAAACAAGATGATGACGGTGCGCAGC